CATCACATACTCAGGCAAACGCAAAAACCCACTCAGGCAAGCACAGAACGACCGAGCTGCAAATTAAGCTCCCCAGAAGCCCCGCCACGAGTCATCCCTGAATGCATGAAACGAGAGCAGCCTGAGATGGAAAGTTTTTCTTCAGAGCGAGAGTCCAAGGTGATGGGCTAAAAACATTCCCATGCACATTGCAGCACGCTGCTTCTCCCTCAGGATCGCGACGTTTTACTGCCGCTTCGGCACCGTGCTTTCCCCTTTGCCAGGTACTCTGGGCATGACAGCCTTGTAAAGATTTCTCTTCCTGTCTCCAGTAGATCAAACTTGTGCTTTTAAGGATGTGGGGGAAAAAAAAGAAAAAAAAAGAAAGAAAAAAAAAAGACCAAAAAAAAAGTTTATAGATTTAAAAGCCCCTGGGCAGCAAATTGCCAAAATCCAAACGAATGCTTCATTTGTGATTGATTATCAGTCTTTTCTTCCTTTCTGCCTGCGATTTACCATTACAATGGCCTTTTTGCCTCAGCCCACTGCACTAAAAGAATGGAAGCGTCTTCTCCCTCTCGAGCTCTCAGTTACTCTGTTCGCTTACTTCACAATTTTCTGACTTGTCAAAAAGAAAAAAAAAAAACAACAGGCTGGGGGAGGAGGAGAGAGAAAAGCCCATTCCTAAAACCCTTTGGCGGGGTTTAAAATGTGAAATAATTCCATACTTATTGGATTAAAAAGGGGGGGGGAAAGGCTATCAGGAAAGCTGGAGAAGCAGGTGGAATGAATCCTTTGGGAAAAACATTAGGATGAAAACTGAACCCTTTTCATTTTCGGTGCTCTCCCTGATGAGCTGCCAGAGCTGCAGCAGCTACTGCTGCTCTGAGGGAGGGTGAGGAAGTGAGAGGGGGGGAGAGAGAGAGAGAGAGAGAGAGAGAGAGAGAGAGAGGTGGATTAAGGCAAGTAAGGCAGCGCTGCCCAATTGTGCACACCAAGCATGCAATTATAAAATGCAGTGTGCAAAGCTGGGGCTCACCCTTTTATTATGCCCCCGGAAACCACCATCTTTCTATTGTGCTTGCCAAGGAATTGTAACAATCCAAACTGCCAGTTGCTGAAAACACAATGGACCTGTTCCAAACCAGCTCAGTGGAGCACTGCTAATAATTCTGCTCTCATAAAGCACTTTTCCTCCACATGGAGCCCAACAGCTTCCATGGACATATTTCTTTTCCTCATTTACATTGCTAGAAAAGGTCAATGCTTTCCTAAATACATGGAAAAAGAAATAACACTAAGAACTCGGGATACTTTTATTAATGTAGGCAGTTGACTCCTGTAGAACGTATCCATGTGTGTGCATCTGTTCTTGCATATATGCACATAGGCTTAGGGATTTGACTCATTGTGTCACATCTGAAGGTGTTCAAAACCTTTCCTGACTTTAATTGGACCTGGAACAGGACAATAGAGAGAGGAGCACAGAGCTCACTCCCTTTCCTGCTGGCATAGCTGAGGAAACACATAGTAGTGCCTCTGCCTCTAAGGCACCTGCACTTTTGATCTTACAGTGCCTGGGATGTGCATTATTTCTCCTTCGGGCTGTGGAGATCTTGTGTTACAAAACCTGAAAGAACTGCGGGGAGAAAAGCTTTGAAGCCAGGATTTTAACCCCAGAAATCTTTGCATTTGTTCATGCTGCCCCGTTCCCACTCCCTTTAAGATGCTACAGGTTCCCAGAGCCTTCTATTTGCCCCACATGTCCCAGCTCTCATTCCCAATAGCCATGAAGAGGAATGCAGGAAAGAGGCCCCTCGCTTTATTTTTCATGGTAGATGATCCTCAATCCTTGCTTATACTGAGCTTTGTCCCCTCCACTTCCCTCCCAGGGGCTGAGTTTTCATTAGCCTCACATCCTGGTCAGGCTCACGGATTGCTATTATCCAGAACTCACCCTTTAGCCTGACTCAAATCAGATTTCTGTGGTCTTACACTCCTAAGGTTTCACTGTAAAAACCCTCATTCCAAGGCACCACAAAGAGCAATTCATTCCCATCCTCTCCACGGCCCTTCCAGAGACAGGCGAGGGCTCTGGGAGCTCTCCTGGGGCTGTACCTCCTCCTCTCCATAGCCAGCAGGACTAGTTAAGGCTGTGGAAGAACACACCAGCCTGTTAACAAGCCAAGGCACTTCTTTGGATTACATCCATTTCCCATACGAAACATTGGTCACTACACCTGTCTGCAGACTCCAGGTTTCCAGTAAGAGCTGACACTGTCAGTCCTGTGTCTGATGATTAACAGCTATCGAAATATTTCTGAGGTACAGTTTTTTGTCTCCTCCAGCATTGTGATTAAGTTCAGGTGCTGAATCCAACATCATTTTTGCCATGAACTTCATTAAATTTATCGCCATGGCAATCACATCATTTTCTCCCCTTCCAAGAAACAGATTTCAGTGCTGAATACAACTAAAGCAAAATCGTCATGCTCTTACCAAACAATTCAAAGTATTAAATGCAAACCTTTTTTTCTTTTTTAAAATCTTGCCTCTGCCAAGAACCTCAAATAGCTTGAGTACCTTAGCACTGTTTGCTACGTGAAAGGAATTCTTTTACGAGGAGTACCTCTAAGGACAGAGCTGAGATACTTTCTGTTGAGGGGCAACAGAACAGACCTGGGCTCAGAAAAGTGCTTTCCACACAGAGTAATATATTCCAATTGAAATTTTGCATTGTTGCAGTGTAAGAGAAAATAAATTTGGAGCAGTTGTTAGAACCCTTTCCCTCATCAAGCACCACGCTGCTAAAGCAAGAGAAATGACCACTGTTTTCACTCGTCAGAGTTCACAATGCACAGAGAGCATTTATCATCAATAAAGGCACTGCCTCCTTGCTGGCAGTTGCTCTGACTTTTCCTAAACGCTTTCGCATAATATTTCTTTTGCGAATAAAGTTCAGTGAAGCAACACTGCCCCCATCTGCTGAAACCAGAAATTGTTACAGTTTAAGTCGATCGATCTAAATGCAAACGTTTCATCAGTTAATAGGCATTTGCTATGCTTTTCCCGTTCAAAAATGAAGCAGATTCTTTCCTGAGTATTCAGAGTGGCGTTACTGTTTTTTCCTGGGTCCCTGAGCTGGCAAGTCATTAAGTCAGACTAAAAGTAAACCCAGAAATCAAAGACAGGAAATTCAGCTCCTAAACTTTGTACACATCTCTTAATGCCTGTTTGTCAGGGGAATTAAATATTAGGCTTAGTTTAAATCTGCCTGCTGCTTGGCTGTATCTGATAAGTTCAGAGGAAGCAAATTCACAATTTATCTTTAAAGAGAATTCTTATAAAATAATGTGGGTCCTCGTACCTTTCACAAACGCAGCCAAGGGGTGACTGGCCCATGGTCATACAGGCGGCGTGAAAAGGCTGACAAAGGAAAAAAGTGCTTCTTTTTCCTTGCTCACTGGTTTTCTCACAGAAGAACTTCACTTTTTCTTCTAGGCAGGGCTCTGTGTAAGCTGAGGAGCGTCAGGAATTTTAAATAATAGACATCCTTCAGGCACCAGTGGGCCCAGCTTCTTCCTCTGCCCTGGAGTCCCGAAGCCATTCACCTAAATCTGCAGGAGGATGGAACAGAACAGTAGTGTCAGAAGACACAGCTCTCCTGGATCAGCTCAAGATCCCTACGGAAGTGAATCATTTCCTCTTGGGATAACAATTCTCCTGAAGGTTTATTATATTAAAAAATTAGAAATTAATTAATAGAATATAAGGCTTTCCTATACTTACTTCCGATCAGCTTGAGCTGACTCTAAGACATCCATTCCCTCAGCTCTGGAGAATGTCAGTCTGGCATCTAAAAGAAGAAATTCAGGCCACAGAATAAGCTTGTTTTTCTGGACAGGCCTCAGATAAAAATATGAAAGATCAGACAGAGAAAAGGAAAGAGAGAGATCTGAGAGTGAAAGAACAAAGCTGAGAAACAGAAGTAAGCTGCAAAATCAGTGAATCCACATCCATTTCTGTGTTGGAAAATGCACTTGCCTTTAAGTCTGAAAAGGAAGAATTTTCTTTGGAGAACATAAAAGAGTCTCTCCACGTAATATTGCCTCCAGCACAGAACAGCTCTGGGTCCCTCAGCTCCTCAAAGCAAACTGAAAAGCAGCAAGCCAAGGTGAGGAATAGATCCGTCCCTCTAGGAAGAGCACAGGCGCTGTCACAACCGAAGGAGGTGAACTCAGGGCATCTGAACTCACAGCTGGTTTCCTCTCTGCATCTGATGCCATCACCCTGCTGAAAATAGGGTTTGAATCAGGAACCAGGAATCAAAACAAGAGTCATCACAGTACAACACCACAATCCTACAGTGTTCCCACCCCAAACAGGATGATTACAAAACAGTTCAAGCCATTATTAAAGCTTTTAACCAATTCTGAAGTGTCTGGTGGGTATGGGCCAGGTATTTCAGTACTCTGCTGGCATAAATTACTCCAATCCCTCCCTCTGAAGCTCTATCCCCTCTGCACACCTCATAGTCCTCTCTCTGGGGAGAGTGGATTAGTTTAAACGCAAGAAGTCTATATTTGCATCTTGCTGGCAAACCTGTGATGATTTCAGATTTTTCTTCTCGGAAGTACTCCCAAACAGGAGGAAAGTTATTCAGGAATTTGGTCCTAAGAGAGTTACTCTGTCCCCAGGTTGTAACTGCTGTTTCAGGGGGAAGCAGCAAAGAGACTGGGGTGCTCCAGACCAGGACTCCCAGGAAATATGGGACAAAAAAAAAGTCACCTGCAGCCAGGACAGGTGGTGTTCCGCAGAAAGCACCTTGCCAGGGCCCTGATGGGGAAAAGGTATCAAGTTCCCCGCTGAAGCCAGACTTTGGATGACACTTCGGGGATGAATCCAACCCTGAACGCGGCGTTTATTGGCTCTCCCTCAAGCACATGATCGGCTCCTGAGGGAGGAGTCTGTTCCCGAGGTTACGTAGGCGGGCAGAGGGGTTGGGGTAAGGAGCAGGTGGTACCCAGCGGGGCTTGGGAAGTTGGATTCCCAGCTCACAGCACGGCAAAAGTAGGAGCGAATGCGGAGTGATCAGTGTCCCCCTCCCTTTCTCAGCCCTACAGCCAGGAGCAAAAGTTCAGTGCACCATCCAAAATACAGGAGAAACAAACCTCCAGCATTGCCTGCCAGAGGTAGGGGCTGGCCCCCTCGCAGGTGAGTCTTCATGCTTTGTTTACACCTGAGACCGTTGGATATTGTAGAGCGAATTTACCTATAAACTCATTTGCCTCTTTCCTCTTTGGATAGGAGGGCGGTGCATTAAAAAGCCCTTTCCTCGAGCTGTTTTCCACTCGGGATAGCAGTGCAGCAAGAATGGAGACCTGAGGTCTGTTTTTAGCTGGTTAATTCTTACTTTTCTTTGCTCACTCTGAAGTAGGCCGTGTAAAACCACTCTTCTCCTTTGGTGTGTCTTTTAGCACCAGGAGAATGGATTCCCTCTCTTGTAAATTAAGTTGGCGTGTTATCCTTGAGGAACTGTTATGTGTTTTTCTTCTAATCACTTATTTAAATATATAAACATACTTGTCTGCCTCAGACATAAGCTCTCCAGCTCTGAGGATTTTTTTGTGGGCCCGGTTCATACACCTGCTCCGGAAAACTCGTGTCTGGGAGAAGCTGTTGCCTATTCTTTAGAATAACCTGAAAAGAGCAACAGCCTCCTGTGCGTTCATTCCTGAAATCAAGATCCAAAATGGGGCAGTCAGACACGTAATTTCCTTTGCCGAAGTGAAGCAATTGCCTCTTGACTCTGCACCCGCTCCCTCACCCTGAAAATACCAGCCAGAGGATCACTTTTGGGAACCCAAAAACATTTGATCTCTGAAGAGATTGGTTTAAAACCAAAAATATTTCAGTTTTTATTCCTGAACTGGATTTTGGAGAAGATGCTTTTGAATCTTTTGCTTTTGCCCTCTGACCTTTTCTGTGTCGGTAGGAAGCCTCCTCACCTCAATATCTGCCTTTAGTCAGCTCACGGTCACCCCCCACAAAATGTGCCACTTTGCCGGCCAAATATCACGAGGAAAATGACCCAGACTCCTCCCTGGCCCCGCGTAAAGGGGATTTTTATCTCCCGTCTCAAAGGGCATCATTAAAACACCTGGAATCCCAAACCACAACATGGTGCCCACCGCATGAGGGGAGGAGGGGCGGCCATTTTGGGGGCTGAGGGGCTCGGCGCCATCGCTTCCCCGTGCCACGCTGGGATGAAGCCGGAGCTCCGCGCAGCAGCGGGTGGCCGGCCCGGGATGGCCCCTTCCCGGGGGGGAAGGAGGCGGGAGGAGCGGCGAGGCGGTTCTCCTCCTCTCTGCGAGCCGTGTCGGCAGCAGCGCCCTGCTCGGAGGCGCGAACCCGCAGGGGCGCAGGTGTAGGGGTGTCATGGAGGACTGAGGGGCGCCCCGGCGGGTCCCTCGGTGCGCGCGGCGGGAAGGCGGGGGGGCGCAGGTGAGGGGTCGTGGTGGCCTGTCGATACATTCGTCTCAAAGCTGCCACCGACTAAGAGATTTCTCTTCTTTTTGTTTGTTTGTTTGTTTGTTTGTTTGTTTTTCCTACTTGTTTTCTTCTTCTTCTTTTTGTTTTCTTTCTTGTCTCTTTCTCGTCTTTATCTCGTCTCTTGTATCTTTTCCCGCCCCCCCCCCTTTTCCCTCCTCTTCTCCTCTTCTTTTTTTTTTTTTTTTTTTTTATTTTATTCTTTTCTCCTTTTCCCCCGAGGTAAAGGGTTCACAGACTTGTCCTCCAGGGGCTGTCAATAGCAGTCACGCTCCCCAAAAATCAAGCTGTCCAAGTCTACACTTTTAGCACCTCGGGTTCACCCCGGAATTAAGTTTTTCTTTTCTTTTGCCGTACCTCCGAAAGCACTTTTGTGAAAGGGGCAAAAGGCCCCCGTTGGTTTGGCTTTAGTCAAGCAGACTGAGATAACAGACAGCATTTGGAGATATAATCAAGGCAGACTTTTATGGAAATCTCATCTTCAGGGTTTCTCGTAAAAGACATTCTTTATTTGGAAACACCCTAGGAAAGTGGCATTGCATAAAGCTGCTTCTGGGTTCATCCCGACAAAACAAAGCAGAAGGCTTGAAAAGGGGGAGAAACTAGCGATACTTGTGAAAATTCAGAGATTTTACTGCCTAGGTGATTTTCCCCCCCAGAAGAGTGCTTGGTCTCAGTGATTTTTATATGCAGTTGTATGTCTAATATTTGAAAGTTTCCCTTACAGAAGGGCCGTTGATGAGTTTGAAAATTAATGGCCAGCTGAGAACAGGGATGGTGTTTTTCTCTAAAGCTTTGTTTTACTGATTCACTCAGACTGATGAATCAGACTGAAGTGTCACCTCACCACTGTGCTTATTACACCAGTGTGCAGTGGTAGATACACAGGAAAATGGTCAGGGAAAAGTGGGATTTTTGCATCTGAATCTCCTCATCTGTTTTTATCAGTAATGTTATAGAATGAAAACCCAGGTTTTTCGGGATGTGCTAATACGAAGGCAGGGATGTTTTCATGTGCTGTTCTGCAGGGAGGTGCTGGAAAGACAAGAGAGACTCCAAAACTCCATGAAGAAACCACCAGAGGCCCAGTGGAATCAGTGATGGATTCTTAGTGTCACAAGAAATCTTTACCAAGGGACAATATGCCCAGTGTGGGTAGGCATTTAACAGATTTCAGAACAAATTTTGGGAGTAATTTCCTGTAAACATTGCAGACTGTTATGTAATTTAGAAGGGTCCTGTTTGAGCAGCCTCTTTTTTTTGATTATGTATTCAATATTTTAATTTGTTGGGGTTTTTTCTCCTTTAGACCACTGAGCTATGTGAGCAACAGCAAATCCATCTAAGTCCTGCAGAGCAAACTGATGGAAGTGCAGTTGGAAAGGGATGCCCTTCTGGATACCAGGTATGAAGGCCAAGGCAGATTTGTATTATGGGGAGTGTCTGGGCTTTGAGAAGCACACAGGGAGAAACTTCCCTTCAGGAATAAGACTGTAGCATCTTGGTTTAGAAAACAACTTATTGTTTACTTGTAAAAACCAGCAGTTAAGCAACAGAAGTTCTATACCTATTAGGATAAAAATCCATGTGAATCCTGCTTTCTAATTTTTATATTTTTTTTTGGTTTCCAAATTCATACAAAAGGAATTGCAGAGCCAAGAGAATGAAAAATTACAGCTGAAAAATGCTATTTGAGAGCTGGAAGCTGCCAACCAGCTGCAGGAGGAGATGCTGAGGGAGGCTGAGAGCCAAACTGAGCATCTGAAAAAGATGGTCCACGGCCACAAGGAAGTACTTCTGGAATTACAGGGCATCCTAATGGACTAGAAAGGCAGCAGAGGCAGGAAACTCTGTGAGCACAAGAATATTACCAGCCTGCTCCTCCACAGCCTGAGCACAGCAACTGTCCATGTCCTGAAAGATTTAGACTCAGAGGTGTCATACCTCAAACAAAAGGTTGTCCTGGTATGTGAAGGAAGTGCTGATTTTCCTCCCAAAACTCAGTTTTCTGCTTTTTAGGAAATATTTTTGAGAACTCCCCGAGTTCCCTCCTAACCTGGCCTAAGGAAAGGGTTATGGCATAAAGAGGTGCAAATGCCACTTTGCAGTTCGGGTGGCAGGTGCTGGTACTCCAGCACTGATCCCAACTGGAAATTGGGCTGAAATCCCAACTGAAATCCCAACTGAAAAAGGAAGCAAATGACACTTTACAAGCTGTTGTTCACACTGCCTTTTCTTTAGGGGTTTGCCCTGTCATCTGTTCACGACAGGTGGAAGGACTTCGGTCACTGAGAAAAGGTTCACAGACCCAAAAAGAACTTCTGCTTCAGAAACATCAAATTAGGTACCCGTTCTCTGGGTTTTTTATTCATAGAACATAAATAGAAGTTTTTTCACAAGTTCCACAGATAATTCCTTGATGATGATGATGGTATTTGGGGTGAGGTGACTAGGGGGTAGCAAGTAATGTTTTTGTTCTAATAATTGCTCCATCCAGATATTTATTTGCTCGTGACTTTCTGCTGCTTTTTCCTTCCATGCTGACAATTTCCTGGTTTATTCATTGCCTCAAAAATACTATTTTGGAAGAATCTCTACACCTTACTTTTCTAAGTGTGATTGGTAACTTAGTTGGATGTGTAGAATTTGTTGGAACAGCAGTTCCACTGTTAAAATAAAAGATTAAAAATAATAATTTCGGTGATTAAGTTGGCTTTTTTTCTGGCTGCCAAAGCACTTAGAGCTTTGTCCTTCCTTGGTTGAGAGGTTCAAATTTGCCCTGCTATCCACAGGAGTTTTACAGTAGCCTCTTCAAAATACCAGTCGATACTTAATAACAGAACATCAAAATTATGACATTGCCCAGTACTGAAAGAAGTTACTGTTTGCCAAGATGAAAATTAGGAACCAGTATTATCTTTTTGGAAGAGGAGGGAGCAGCCAAGAAGTGAGCATGAGCAGGAGGTGGCAGCACTGGCTGGTAAAGCTGACAGTGCCTGCAGCTTGCAGAGAGCACCCAAAGCCTGGTGGAGAGGGATCATTCAGTCTGATTTTTTATTATGGTGTACAAAATGTTAGGAGCAGCCTTAATTTGGGAGAAGGGTTATGCTGCTCGTACTTCCCACTTGCTGCTTCACTCATAGTGAAGGAATATCCCTCTGTGGAAAAAGGTTTGTTTTTTTTTTTTTTTTTAAAGTGCTTCTTTGCCCATTCCATTAAGGGCTTATGGTGTAGGTAAGGAATTTCTGAGGAGCTGTGGATCAAGGTAGAAGCCAAATTACTCTCCAGAATCATGACTAACTCTGAAATGACATTGAGCTTAATCACTAAAAGAAGACAACTCAATTCTGATTACACTCAGGGAATAACTCTGCTGTGCCAAAAAAAAGATGTTTGGACTTGTTTAAAGTAGAACCTAACAGAAAACTAGAATAAATCCAATGTACTGCTTAAAATAGAATACATTAAGATAATTCTTAATGAATATTTGTCTTTTTCTAGGTCAGAGACCTTGACAAGCAGTTGTACCTTGCTCGTTCTGAGCCAGCAGAAGCTCACACAGAACAGGATCAATGTGGCCAAGAATCCGGAAATCTGAGGGACCAGATTCATCAATTGTTGGTAAAAACAAGTGATAGTACTGAAAAAAATCTTGCTTTATAAAAGCCTGTCCTTACTGCTGGTGTTCCTGTTTGCATCTTGCTTGTTTCCCCTTATAATTAAATTTGAGGATTATTTTTAACTAGAAATTTGAATTAGATGTGAAAGGCCCAGAGGCCTTTTCCATTAGCAATGCAGGACATCCAGAATTAAGATTAACTTTGTCCCAAATTAAAAAATCACAGAATCCTATGCAAATCACATTAAAGATGCTGAGCAACCTTCCCTTTAACCTCACAGTTACTGCTTTGCTGGTTTGCATTTGCTGTTGACATGGCATCATTTTCTTTCCTTTTGTGGCTTATACCAGTTTGGGGATAGATACAAATGACATGAAAGGCTTCAGCATCGAGGTGTTGCATGCTTCAAAATAATTACAGCAGCAATATATGCAGTTGAAAGGAGATATATAAATTTGAAAGGAAAAGTGGAGGAGATGTTAGACTCGTTTAGCCAACCTTTCTCCTTCTGCCAAGTGGAAACCCCTGCAGCAGTTCCTATTCCAATGTGTAACTGGGCCACTGAATGCTGCTAATGTTAAGAGACCAAAATAATCCTGAATGTGTTTAGGAGGGAGATTACTTTGATTTCTCATAGATTAAGTTTCATAAAAAAGAAATAGAACTAAGCCTGGGAAAAGAACAGAACAAGCGATTTTGGGATCAGAACACAGACAACAGCATCACTGTGGACCAGCTCAGGAGACAGCTGGACAACAAAAGCCAGCACCTGCAGAGCATGGAAGAGGCAGTGAAGGAAATGAGGATGGAGTGTCTCAGACAAATGGAGTGCCAGGTTGGTGATTTTGGCTATAGACCTCCAAAAGGACACTCTGTAAACTTCCAGTAAGTTTGGTGCTGGCAGACATATCAAACAAGCTGTTGAAGGTGGTATTCTGGGTAGTGAGCATGTCTGCAAGAGTGGTTAGTAAATTAAGGGCCTCTGTGGTGCTTTACCTCATGAGATATTTAATGAAAATATAATGAAGTTTGGGTTTATAACCCAGTGCCATGTCAGAATTCCTTCTGACAAAGGCGATTCCTAGACGCTCACTTGACATTCATTCCCCTTTTCTCCAGACTTCAGCCCCTCAAAAATGAGCTGTAATTAGATAACCTGCTTTGCATTACGAGTAAAGATGAACTATAGGACATTCTAAAGGTAAAAATAACCAAATCTCTTGGTTGATCCTGGTATTATTATTCTTCAGATGGCTGCAATTAAGGAAAAGAATGAAAGCGTTGGAAGAATCTCCTCTTTGAGTGTCCAGCTGGAGGCAACCAAGGAAACACTCCATAAGGTTGGAGATGATCTTGCAGCCAAACAGATGAATTTGGAGGCTGCTGGGAAAACAGTGTCAGATCTGACAGCCTGTCTGCAGGAAAAGGAGAGAGCCCTTGGGGTTACCAGCCAGGAACCAAAGGAGCTGCATTCCCAGCTTGGCAGCAGGCTGCAGGAGCTCCAGCATCTAAAGAATGAAGAGGGCTGCTTACACAAGGGGCAGTCGGAGTGTGAGACACTGAAACCGCAGGTGTTGGAGAAGGAAAGGGTCATTGAGATCTTCCAAAAGCAAATTGAGAACATGACCCAGGTCATGGGCCAGCACGGTCGGGCTGCTGGAGCAATGGAAGTTGAGAAATCCGAGCTTAGACAAGAAATAAATGACTGGAAACTCAAAGTAGAAGAGCTCAAGGTGTGCAAACGGTGCTGTATTTATGTCTCTTAAAGACAATATGGGTTTTCTGTTTTTAAATCTCTGCCTTAATGGGCTGACACTGTGGTTTTGGAGGAGGTATCTGGAATCTTAATAGCACTAAGTTAGTGGGCAGAGAGGAACAATATGATCAATATGAGGAGGGAGTTGAGCATTGGGAATGAACTGCTACAAGATGTAAATCATTTTCATATCCTACACTGGTGAGGTGTAACATACTGTAAAACCATCACATCCACTTCTGTTGCCCCCTTTTTGCCTGCATTAGCAGTTTTCACACAAGTAATCTCTCTGTTTTACTCTGTTTTAATTTCTTGCCCCAAAGTGAGGTTTAAAGTAGTGGTGTCTACGCATCTTTGTGGTTATTTTATATAATTATGTTTAGTACACATACTGTTGTTTCTTCTGTAAGCAGGTTGCAAAGGATGAGAAAGAAGCCAGAATACGTGAGGTGGAGGCCAGACTGAGCGAGCTGGAGCTGGAAAAGGTTCAGCTGGTTAACACATGCACAGAGAGGCTCCAGGCACTTAAAGATGTGAAACAGGAAAAAGATCAGCTCATGGATGAACTCCAGGCTGGTAGGAGCAACCTAGCTGGCCTTGCAGGTAGGGAGCCCCAGCTCAGCTCCCACGGCTGCTAATTTGGGCTGGTGTTAAAAATAAAAGAGCAGCTTGCTCCCTGAATCCAAATATGGCTGCTGGTAGAGCAGGAGATTTCCTGCCAGCATGGGATGGTCGGGTTCCTTCAGGGAGCTGTGTCATGGCGTGGGATTCTGGCACAGGAGGGTGGGAATACAATCTTTATGGCCCATCTCAGTACCCTGAGCAAAAATACTTAAAACTGCCTGGCTCCAGAGATGAAAAAACCAGATCTAGTAAATCACAGAATGGGAACTTGACCTCTGTTTCCTGATTGTTATTTAAGAGCAGTAGTGGATCCCTTTAACCTTCTGTGGTCACATTACAGGGAAACTTTGTTTTGTTGTACGTGTGCTAAAACATTATTAAAAGTGGCTGCTCTAACTTGACTATTTTCACAACTAATACACCTTTTGGCTGGACCCAAAGCAACCACCAAAATTCACGGAGATTCTCAGTTAAATCTGCATTGCAGCTGGCCAGATGCCACTGGTCACATGCTTTGCTCTCTGCACACTCCCATACCCTCAGAAAATATCCAAAAGCACTTCTTTTATCACAAGTTGGCAGCAGATCAGTAATCTAAGTCTAGAAGAATGATTTTATTTTTTCTGTCACTCCTAATTTCAGTCTTTCCTGACTCTCACCAGAGGCATTTGAAGATTTGGAGAGGGATTACCAGGATAAAATTGAGGAGATGCAAGATACTGCAAACAGACTGAAAATGCAGCTGAAATCTGCCCAAGCTGAACTGAAAGAGGCCAGGACTGCTCTAAATACTATGGAGGGATCTGCTGGCAACGGTAGCTATGGGTTGAACTTCCCAAAAATCACACACGTTTGTCTTGTTAACAAGAGAACTTTTGTAAGTTTTACAGTCATAATCACAGTTGTTCCTCGAGAATTAACCTTGTGTTTTACAGCTCTGGAAGTTGCAGTGAGAATGCAGAAGCAGATCACAGCCAAGAGAGGGCAGATAGATGCACTGCAGAGCAAGATTAGATTCTTGGAAGAGGCAATGGCTAACGCAGCTGAGGTCACAAGAGCTCCCTGTAAAAGCATTTAACTGGATTTAGGGCAATTTGTCTTGGGAGAAATGCATGGCCAAAAGCACAGCTGGCCCAAGAAGGACCAAAAATAATTTTACTTGTTTTCTGTGACAAAGAAATCATTCAGTTACCAACAGCTGTAGTTTACTTCTTCACTGGCTTTGGGTCCTGTGGATACTGAAGCTTCAAATTCCAGTTTCAAAAGGGATCTGAAATCTGAGATGTTGTTTCACCAAGATTCACCAAGCTGCACCTTTCCTTATATTCCTTACAAGACCTTTCTTCTTGTTGCAAAACCTCAGTTTTCTGCAAGATGCAATGACTGAGCTTCTCAAAGGGTTAATTCAGATTCTCCCATCTTAAATTCAGGAGAAGCATTACCTCAGAGAAGAAAACTGTAAACTAAGTGAAAAATTGAGCTGTATTAGAGTAGAAAATATCAGGATTGCTGGGGAACTGGACATCCTGAGAACACAAGACAAACAGCTGAAAGAAAGACTATCTAAGATGGAGACAGCCCTTGATAAGGTAATTCAAGGTAACTTTGAGTTCAGGGACACTTCTGGATGTTCTCCTCTACTGTCACCTGGGAAGAGAAAGGTTATATTTAATAAGTTCTTTTCACATGTGCTGCAAAATCCTTACCTGAAGAGATATCTCTGGGTTTTTTTCTATAAAGAAGAGCCCTTTCAGGATGGTAACTTTTCAGGATGTACATTTCTACATAAGGTGTCATTTTCAAATTGCTTTAAATAAAAAATGATAAAATAATTATGATGCCTCCTCCCAAGTGTGAAATATCTTTCTTTAAGTGCTTGTCACTGGAAACTTTCCTTTCTTGTGGGTATAGATAGTCTCACCCCTTTTCACAGTAAACTTTTTAAGGAAGAAAAAGTATATATAACAACAAAGACAGGAACCAAGTTCTCAGCCACCCCTTTTAGAAGCTTGAATATAGTTTTGCCTCATTAGCACTGCTGAATTTTCTAATGCCAGAGGTGTCCAGTAGGTCTGGGCCCGTCCTTGGCAGGATTATGTCCCTTTAATAACAACATCTGTGTGTGCAGCTTGTTGAGAGAACAGGGCAGAATGTAACCCCCAGGAAGTTAGCACCACTAATTTGTGGCTCTTCTGTGCTCTCTTCCAGGCATCCATGCAATTTGCAGAGTGTCAGGGCATAATCCAGTGTCAGGAGCAGGAGGCTGCAGCACACTCTGGGTGTCAAAGTGAGTGTGTTCCTGAGAAACATGGTCCTCATGTTAAATGCTTTTGCTTTGGGGCTGAACTTCAGGTTTAACTCTATTTATTGTGAACAGCTCTGAACTGTTCACGGTCTGAAACCTTTTTTTACATGGAATTCCTCATTGCTGCACGTGTCACATCCACAAATTCAGGTTTTTGAAGTGCTATTTACAATAAGGGCAATGAAAACATAGCTTTGGTCCAATCTCTGCCTTTACTTTTGAGATGAATAGAGGGTATTATTTCCTTTTGCCTGATTTATAACCGTGGGCTATTCAGGCTGCAGTGAGAGTGTTGCTGTGAATGAACAGTACGTGGAGAACAGTCCTTTTGTCGTAAGAAACTATCATTCCTTTTAGTGACCCCCCCCAGCTGCTAGTTTTGGGGGAGAAACAAGATGCTATATTCAAACTATGAATACAAAAAGTGCTTCAGAGGAAGAATGACCAAGGTGGGGAACCTCTGTTGTTTTTCCACAGGAGCTGCAGGGCCCAGGCTACTCATCAGCCTCTGCCTCAGGAAAGCTTCAGCATGTTGTGCCTCTGTCCCACCTGCACCCTGCTGTCCTGCCACCTTCCCTGGCCAGCCCTGCCCCTCAGGTGAGCACCTGCCTCAGGATGGAAACCTGCACAGGAAACCAGCATGTTCCAAAGAGTAAAAATATCACGGAATTTCTAAGTGGGAGAGCATCGGGTCGCAGTGTCCAAGAGCCAATTCTTAACACCACAGATGAAATCATTTTCTGTAGCTTCTTGTATGTCATGGCCTTTCAGGTCGGTTTTTTTGTGTAAAAACCAACCAGACAGTTAAAAAACCCTGTAGATTGTGGTAGGAGTTTATTTTATCTCTATCACCAATAACACTTGTAACCTATTTACATTGGTTTTCACTCTTTTTCTTTGCTAGTACTCTACTTGCTGTAAATCACTTACATTTGACAGTGAAAATAGACTTTTAGACGGTTCTCGATAAATTTAATCATCTGATTGATGTTTAAATCTTTCTCCACACTGGTCTTGACTGATTTTGACCAGTTTTATCCACATCCTTGTCCTTCCTTTTGGTTTTGTACATCTGCATTTAGATTTAAATTAAATTCTTGTGTCGTTCTGATTTGTCGTTACAGAAAACATCATCTTATGCAAAAAGAACCCCAAACTTTTGGAGTTTTTGTATATAGATTTTTGTAAAGATCTCCAGAAGGGACCTGATGTGTCTTCAGCAGGTGTTTTCTTTAATTTTTACCTCAGAATCTGCAGGAGACTACAAGTTAGTACAGACATTTTCCAGTAGTATTTTCTGGTTTACTTTCTGATGTGGTGGCAAACCTTTACATCAAGGAACAAAGGATAGTGGCTTCTGCAAAATCCCTGCAGCATCAGGCACTCCTACTCTCTTTTCTTTGAGTTAATCAATTTATACTTCTCAGGATAAAGAGGGAAAAAGGAGTGATTTTTAATGCAGTACCATGGTGAGGACATAACAGGTTGCAGAAGCACTTGAATTAAAGTCTGCTTTAATCTTCTTGGTTCCTGCATCATTAGTTACTGTACAAAAGGAAGCAGCTCCAGCCCTTGAGATAGACATGGATGATAGTCTGGTTCCTTAGCTGGGATGTGGGAATGGTTGGTTTGGTCTGACCCAGTATCACTTTGACTCCTTGTGAAGCTGAGGGTTTGTTCTCCCCAAAAGCCCTGATGAAACCAGTGTGTTCCCATTGAAAATTACTTTTTTTTTTCCCCAATGAAAATAGGGTAGCAAAATGTTTGCAGCCAGTTCCATCCCCAGGTGGAGCAAAGGTCAGTGGGAGCAGTGCTTTGAACTTACAAAGTGCTGAGTAGTCTGAAAAATCCAGTTTTTACAGAAGGGAAGGGTTCTTTGAGCCAGGCCTTTGCCTCAAGTGTTGATCAGTAAAATGAGGATAATCTTGCACTTCATCTCCGAGGTGGCTGTGACAATAAAGGGGTTTCTGTCTGCAGACAGCCCAGCTGTTACAGGAATGGGTGCCTGGAAAACACCCTGATCTGCTCCTCTCTCTGCCTTCAGCACTGTGTCTGTGTCCTGTACAGCAATACCTGGGGTCTCAGGGTAAAAGGAGAAAACAAGAGTAAAGGGGGTTAAACAAAAGTAAAACCTGTGCCTCTGGATGAGTAGAGCTAAGAACTGACAGTCAGAGTGCCTTTGTAAATACTTTGTAACTGATTGGTTTTATTTCAAGTGCTTTCCAAGCTGGACATTTTGAAGGAAGAACCACTGCAGGATCTAAGGAGGATTGTTCAAGAATTAACAGGCTCAGACAGTGACATTCCCTCTGTGGATCTCAGTGGCAATGGTGGGAGAAAACCACCTTTAGCAGCCATGAGCAATGCAGTGTAAGAGTAAGAGCTTTATTTCTGTTGGGTGCTGTGTACTTGTAGTGCCCTCTAAAACTGGGATCTGGCTCTTCACGTGCCTCAGGAGCACCACAGGATATCTTTTTGCAAGAAAGTTGGGTTTACACATAAGCTTGAGAGAATCTGGAAACTTCCAAAGCTTCTCTTGTTTGCCAGGTTCCTCAGATGCTTCAGGTGGTAGGGAAATAGGAGGTGACTACACCATTTGCCTTTAGTGCTTGCTTTTTGGTGTTTTACCTTTTATTTTGGTTTAGAACTCCTTTCTTCTTGTCCTGCCTTATGTAAATATCCCCTCTCTCATTGCTGAAGCAGGCAGTTATTTTTTTTTTACCAAACACATGAAGTTGAAAAATCAATACAGCACGTACAACACATGTTTCTAATCCAGAACGTGAGGATACTTCACAAAGAAAAATAGAATTCATGGATTTTGACTAGATTTGACTAAATCTAAACTACAGCTGGAAAGGCTGCTATTGCAAGCATGGTGGAAAAGGATATTTTAGGACAGTGAGAAGTGCTTTCACTTAGCTGAGTAACCTGCTTCTTCCAGTACTCATTTGAGATTCAGTTTCTAAGGGTTGTTTAACACAGCCTCAGTCCTGATCTTGTTTGTGTTGCCTTATTCATAATGCTAAAAGCTTCCTGGGAATTACAAAACAAAGCTGTGGTGTTGCTTTCATCCCTCTAAGAAAGAGCTCTGAAAGTTACTTACCTTGTTTGCTTTTGATTTCCATGTATAAGACGTGGAGATTCCGTGTGAGAGCTCCACATTCTCGCCGTGGAGCCTGGCCAGCATGGCCAAAACTTGGCATAATCCTTCCAGAATGCAAGTTTTACCTTCATTTTGCTTTCAGGGATCCTTCCTGCTCACACCCTGCAGACCTTCAGTCCCAAGATGTTTCCCTGCCCTTTACATCCCTGGGTAAGATCTCGCTGGCTGCATTTGTGTCATATTGATGTCAAAGTGGAACTTCACAGAACAGTACCAAAAAATATAGTTCAAATACAGTGTATTTTCTTGGGACATGTTACAAAGTTTCTGTTGCACTTACTGTGCAAAATTGCAAAATCTTGTTGCAAAGCATCTCCTGGGAGGCTGGTACCAGCACACCCAAAATGGATAACTTCCATGTTAGTCTTGCATAATTAGCATACATAATATTGTCATATTCTTGGAGCCTAAATTTAGGCTCTTGAATTCTGCATTCAGGTATTGGGATATGGATGTGCTTTTGAGAGCTATCAGCTCATTGCAGAAGCTGTTGATTTCCTTCCAGGTACTGGGTGGTCAGAACCTTTTCAACTGTGGTGATGTGGATTTAGTGACCTAAACAGAAATATAAGGATGTGGCTTTGAGCAGCAGGGTTTGCAGATAGAAATCTTAGCCACCTTCTGGGTTTTTTACCCTTAGATTACCCATTCTGTGAAAACTGCCTGCAGACACTGATATATTTTATTGTTCTCTATTAAAATTTGAGCCACTGTGCTTCAGAGATAGGCTGGCATCCCTCTGTTTATTGTGAGGAGCAGCTACTATGGGTACTCTTTTTATATACCTGAGTATTAAAGGAAATCTCTTGGGTAGTTACTGTCAGCCTTGTAGCAAAACCAACTGCAACATCCAGGGATTTTTCCTGGCATCCAAAATAGCTTCAAGGAGTGGGGTTTTTTATGTGGAAGCCTTGAGAAGTAGTTGAGCAAGGGGAGTTTGTAATGAGACCCAAGTCAGGACAGGGAGTCTTGGGTTGTGAGCAGCTGTAATATTCCCATCAGGCTGTGTGCTCACTGCTCTTTGCTTGGATATCTCCTAGGAATTGCATCCATCTGCTCAGCAGCTCGTTGTTACACATCCTCCCCCAGGAAAGCCTCTCGGGAGGAGAGAGACAGAGCAAAATCTCCAGTGCCCTTGCTGTTAACTACTCTACCTGAGGACCTTGGCTCCAGTGCCTCACCAGGACACAGACCATCCACAAGGAATGCTGGCTCTCCAGGGGGTGCAGCCACAGCCCCCCAAATAGGTACATCCAGTCCTGTTTCCTGATCCAAGAGCTTGGCTGCCAGTGCCTTTCCTTCTCCCGGTTCTCTTCAAGGAGTTTGATTCTGTGATAAATGAATTGTGAGCAAAATGTAGCAGCTAATTAATGTATTAGACAAAGAGGAGATAAATTCCACACACCACTAAATTTAAGGCCTGGTAAATCGCTTTATTCGGGAATAAATAAGACTGTAGGAATTCCTGACATCAATAATTGCATAGTTGTGGTGGTTCCTGTAACACATTTAGTAAAGTTCTGGGTCTGACTGAAAATACTGGTGTAAATTTTATTTTCTACGAACTCTGATTTAAATGGAATGTTTAGATAATTGATAGTGGCCTTGTTGTTGTTATCATTATTATTATTATTATTAATGAATAATTTTTTTCCCTAGCTTCTCAGCCCATGGAAAATAGCGAGCACACACCAAGGGGGCTACAGAACAAGATGTAAAGCCTGGAAGACCTGGTGGAATTGTTACAGATAAAAAAACCAAGGTGCCAGAATTTACCAAAAATATTCCTATTTTGTTGAAGAAACCCACACTCTCCAAAAAGTCTTTTTGGTACCTGCCAAAGCACTTTCACATCTTTTACTAGCACACACAGGTTTCACTACCAGTCCCCACTTCTCCTTTATCCTGCTTCTAGGAGATTAATCAGATTAACTCCACAACACCCCTTAACTCTAATGAGCTTCAAGATCCTTGACATGTCAGACGTGGCAGCTGCTCAGGGGTGTCCTCGTGGGCTGTCATGTCCAGTTAAGGGAAATTTTTAACAAGCTCATGATGCAAGATCCCCTTGACTCCAAAAACATAGTGTTCTGTGAGCTCCTGAGATGGCAGGATGCCAGAGTGAGATGGCACTTCTTCTCTGGGCAGTTTTTATTATTGCATAATCCAGTTGCTTTCCCTTTGCCCTTTTAAGTCTTGTTGTGTAGATTTGGGAAGTTATCATTCCCCTCCATCATCGAGTGCATATGTGTCAGGGACATACAAGTGACCTGATGTAGGTAAAACTCATCAAGTTATTTATTATTTATTTATTTATTAAAGTCAAAGGTGAGTGTTCTCATTTTTATTCCTTGCCATGCATTAATATCCTGAGTGGTTTTGTCTATATTCACATACAGAATTGCAAACTAAAGCTGCTTTTGTAAGGGCTTGATAAGTACAGCAGAATGTGTGGGAGGATATTTGGAAGCTTCAGGTGCCTGCACCTCAGGCCTCGATCTTTTGAACATCAGGTGGTGTTCAGCTAATCTCTTCTTGCTGCTATTTTCAGCCACGTCACCAGTGATCAGAACTCAGGAGGTGAAGACAAAGAAATCCAAGGAAAAGGAGAAAAGGCTCTCAAAGTGAAGATGCCGTATATGTTAGTGATTCCTTTCATGTAGGTACCTTGTGTTTAAAATATATTATATTTTTTAAAGGTAAATAATAAAAGTTCTTCCAGTTTTTTAAGTCTTATTTATAGTTTTTACTTTTAAGTGAGCAAGAAGTACGGGGGAGTAGAAATACATGCAAGTAAATAAAAAAACCTGGCCTTGAACACTTCCAGGGATGGGGCAGCCACATCTTCTCTGTGCCAAGGCCTCACCACCCTCACAGGGAAAGATTTCTACTGTGTATCTACCCTGAATTCTCCCTCTTTCAGTTTGAATTTCATCCTATACCATGACACCTCTAAGCAGAATGGACTCATCAAGTTTTAGCTGGAATCTTGTATGGGGAGAAGAAATTAGTTTGAGTTGTTCCTAAGCTGTCCTCAGTTATTGCTGACAGTATTTTAATCTGGGCGATTTTTTTTTTATATTTTCTAACTATTTTTTCACTGTTTCTGATCCTTTTTGTAACAGTGTTGCAAGCTTAGTCAAAATATTAATAAAGGCATCTCCCCTTTCCTAGAAGTCATTTGCAATGAAAATGAAAGGATCATTTTAGATGGCTTGTGTATCACAGTCTGGACTTGCCATACATATTGGACAAATCTACCCAGATTTTCCTAAGAAGAGGGTCAGGTGTAGAGAATAAGAGCCCCAGCAGGTTGGGAAAGGTCACAAGTCTCAGTTTGGTTCAAGGAGCCAAGCTAAAAAGAGTTTCAGAAGCTGCAGCCCTGTGCCAAGGGCAGGGAGCAGGTGGGGAGGTCAGAGGGCCAGAGCAAAGGAAGGGACATCTGCCAAGCAAAAAGGCAGCTTTAACATCCTTTTGCTGGAACCCAGCAGAGTTGGGAACAGGTCTGGGCTTCCTCCCTGCCACCAGCAGCAGGCAAACAATTGGCCTGGGGAGGCAGCAGGCTGGGAGAATCTCAGAGCAGCTGCACATCCTGGAGCCTGCAGCCCTAACAGCACTTTGTTATTCCATGTCACACAGGTGGATGGCATAGGAGGACACCCCAGATGACAGCCAGCCCCTAAGAGAGAAAACCCAACACCAGGCTAATCTGTGGAGAGACTCCAAACAGTAAGTTTAACTCCCAGAGAGAATGTGGGATGGGCATGGGTTTTGCAAAGCAAACAAGCTGCCAGGCAGGTTTCTGCAGGAGACTTTGAACTGGTTTATGCCCAGTCCCCTCAGGCTGCCTGCACAGCACCCAGCTGCAGCATTCAGCATCTGCACACCAAACTACTTCACAGGCAGGAGCAGATTGCATTCCACCTAAAAGTAATCAAATTGCCTGATTTGTCACAAGTTTGTTGTCAGGGCTCCGTGGTTGCAGGCTTTGATAAGCTGTGAGTGAGACAGTTTATTATTTGCTTGGAGATCTCCTGAGGCTGTTAGATCCACACAGGAATGACAACTAGTTGTTTCTCACATGTAGCTGCACTAGTCTCACAGCCAGGACATTGTATTAGACAGGTATTAGCTGTTCCAGCATCATTGTTTTTATGCAGCAAGGCAACTTTGTCTCAATCTACCTCAATGCTTGAGTGAATATATTGTTCAATAATGAGAAAACACCTCTGTGAACTTGGAGATAATACTAATCAGCTCCTCCAGAAATACTGAAATCCAGACTTCTTTCCTTCACCACACCAATAATATTTAATTGACATAGCATAGGCCCTGCTGGGCAAGCAGTGATGTGAATGGCATCATAATTTAGAGGTGGGAGCAAAAGTTCAGTGCAGGTCTTTGTAGAAACCTCACTTGATCTTTCAGCAAGATGATACAGTCTTGAGGACTGTGAGTTGTCTGTGGGATCAAAGCACAGGGTGTTTAATTAAAAGAAGTAAGTTTCTCTCAATTTGAGAGACATCTCAGAGTTCATCTCTGACATGTTCATCACTGCATTAGAGAATCTATTCCAGTGTAGGTTAAGTGGCTTTCTAGTGAATAACTTAATCTAATAGAATAGTTAATCTCCTCAGACAAGCCTCAGATGTGTGTATAAATATGCTCAAACGGCAGCAGCAGCGCACTTGACTTCGGTGATTACAAAGATCAGCTTCTGTTTCAGCTGTACATCTGTGTATCAGGGATATTGGCAACTTCAGATTATTGCTAGAAAAGCCAAGTGCAGAGAATGCAATTGAGGTTGTTTTACTTGAGGAAAGGAAAACTCGAGTTTGTGCTGAAAAGCCTAGTCTTAAAAAAATAAAGAGAAGTTTAAGGAAGTATTTGCTAACAATACTGTGGTATTGTTCTTCAGTAGGCAGAGTATGCCACCTGACTCTATTCCGGCCAGTGCCCTATTCCCTAGCCAGCCCAACATTCCAGGATTTTTCTAAAGCCTGCTCCCGCCCCTGACAAAGTAATTCATTAAGCCCAGACTGTCCTATGTGACCTTCGCTCTCCCCTCAGCAGGAGACGAGCTGTCTGCCAAGCCTTTCATTTGAGCCGACAGGATGGCTGGACAGTAGGAGGTAGTGGATGAACTATTTTGGGGTTCAGCTTTTGTTATTCCCAGGAGAGCTGGCCACCTTTCAGCAGTTCCCTAGCCACTTAGATTTCGGGTCAAGCAGCTCACTTGGGTCAAAGTCACCAAAATGAGTCAGGTCACTGGTCAGCTGGTAACAGGCTGTCAATCCGAAAGTGTTTATTGTTTACTTAATACAGTACATAAATGAAAACACTTAGGTTGCTATTACAGTGTTGGTAACCACACTTCCCAGCACGCTTCCCAAGCCCAAGCCGTCGGTACCACCGTGCATCCCATAGCCCCACTCAAAGCAACACCAACTCAAGTCCGGGGTCCAGATTTACCTGGACAGGCAGGTGCTTGGAATGCTGCTCGTGCCTTCTCAGCCTACCTCGTATCTCTTCAGCACGTGTTTGCAGTTGATTTTTCGGGTTGCCATATGATTTCCTAAAGGGGACGGCAGAGATCTGCTGCTCACAGGTTGGTTTAGCTGGGTTCCATACAGGATTTCCAGAGCTCTGCACTGGAGAGGGTCTCCTACTGAAGAAGGGGAGCCCCCCCTAAGGTTTAGGGGCTCGGTGACTCATCTAGGCAGGTTTGCCACTAGATCAGCAGCTTCCAACATCCCGTTAATGGTATCCCCACCACTGATGAACAATTTGATCTTCATGTTCAGTCACTAGGGTTCTATTACCGCATTCTTCCCAGCGTCTGACCTTCCCGTTCTCCACCAAGATAAATTTCCACTCCAGTCTGGTGTCTGCAGGCAGACTGATGGACTCGGACCAGAAGCCATCCTTGTCACACTTGAGGGGAACATAGCTGTGCCACTGGCCAAGACACTCGTGGTCCCCGGTGACACCGATGAGCTGAGCCTCGGAGTGTGTGATGTAGTGCACACGGAAAGCCATGTGGATGTTCTGGAACATGGGGGGCACGGCTGCAACCCTCTTGGCTTTCGAGTCCCCATCGCAGCAGTCTCCTTGTTCCCATTCCCTGCTGTCGGAGTCTTCCATGCTGCCATCCTTGCCGGCCCCCCCCTCGACCAGGTGCTCAGAAACAACTTCCCACTCTTCGTGGTCCAAGTCCCTACTCTCAGCTGGCTGACCCGGCTGCTCCTCACTTCTGTCCTTACAGTCATCCTCAGAGGCTCCTGCCAAGTTCATCACGCACCATCCGTCACTTGCCTGGCCCACCTGAGCTCGCAGTTCCCCTACCTGGCTGCCGGCCGTATCATCTGGATGCTCCCTGGCGCCGGTGGCGTCCCGCTTCGGGATCAGCCGCTCCACCTCCACAGCTTCACCCGAAACTCCCCCGCTCGGGACGTGGTTGATCTCTTCCCTCGGACCAGCCGCCAGATCCCTTCCTGCCTTCGGAGCGCCGGGCACAGCAGCCGCGACCTCCCGCCGCCCCGGCTCCGCGCTCGCCTCGGCATCCCCTGCAAGAGACATTCGGGGAGGACGGGGCTGGTTAAGCGGAGGAGCCGCCGCAAACCCCCGCGCCCCCCTGCCCTCCGCGCTACCTGTGGCCGCCGGCTCTGCGCTCGCCCGCCGGGGCCCCTCTCCGCCGGCCGCCGCCGCCTCTCCGCCCTCCTCGCCTCTGCCGTCGCTGCCGCCGTACCAGAACCAGGCGAGGACGGCGGCCAGCAGCCCCACGAGCAGCGCGGGCAGGAGCCCCGCGGGCCAGAGCCCCGCGCCCAGCCAGCCCCAGCCGCGGGGCTCCGCGGGCAGCGCGGCGGGGCCGGGCGGCCGCACCACGGGCGGGCCGCGGTCGCGGGCCATGGCCGGGCACTGCAGCGAGAGGGGCCCCGACCGGGGCCGCCCCCCCTCGGGCAGCGCCTTAAACGGCGCCCCGGCCCCGGGGAGGAGCCGCCGCCGCGGCGGGCGGGGCCGCGCGGGGGAAAGGCGGGTTGGGATAAATTCCAAAAGTCGGGGGGAAAAGTTTAAAGGCTTCACGTGCACACCCCCTTTTCTGCCTTCTCTCCCTCTTTTCCCTTCTCTTTCCTCGATTTCCACAATTTAGCCGTGCTGCCAGTTAAACCAATGCAAAACTGAGGGGAGCTGACAGGTGAAAGGTGAGGACTGAATGCGTGAGGTTCTTTGCTGGTTTTTGCCTGAAAGCAAGCACTGGAGCTACAGCAACTGCAGATTATGAAGTTTCACAGAATCACAGAATTGTTAGGGTTGGAAAGGACCTCTGGAGATCATCTAGACCAAGGCAGGGTCACCTAGAGCAGGTTTAACTCCAGCAGTGCTGGTGGCCTTAGATGCTCTAATGGGTGTGCCGCGGGTGACTGCTTTTAATACTTGAAAATCCAGGCTTGCTATCCCTGAGAAGTGAGATGAATTCACTACTTGTAACTTCTGCATTACACTCTAATGACTACAACTGGATTCCTTGACATTGCCCTGCTCTCCTGGCTTCTCTGTTATGCTCAGGAAGCTTTTCGGATTACCAGGCCTTCAGAGCCCATTAGTGCAGAGGATATTTGGTGTTCATTTTAATTTACCTTCATTTTATGACGCTTGAAGTGATATGTCAAACTGTACTTCAAAATTAAGAGGGTGTGCAGATAGATCTTATAGGAACCTGAGAAATTTCATAAATGCAGCTTGGGACTTTGTGTTTTGAATCGGTAGTTCTGGAGCGACAACCTGTAAAAATGTTTATAACACCAGAGATTAACACCAGGGAAGGAGTTAGGGGGGACAATTCCACTCAATTCTGATTGCTGCCTTTTTTTTTTTTTAATCCATTCTCTTTATCTGACCAAAGGTGTTGCCATGACTGAATCTCTAAGGCCCACTGACGAGATTGAAGCCACTATCTCATTAGAAAAGACAATGGCTAAGTGGATGTCCCAGTAAGTCTGTTTCCAGTGTGTGAACTTCTTAATCTTTCAGTGTCATTTAGAGCAGCGCTACCTCAGCTTAGCAGGACAGCAAATGTCACTCGAATTTATAGAAGCACAAATGTGCAGCCTCCATGGTGCAGTTCCCTGGCTGATCTGGAAGAGGGTGGCCTGTGCAGATGCACAGAATTCATGATCTCAGTATTTTTCCTTTCTTTGCTTACCATGGCAGCTCAGGCACCGTCTCCGGAGCGCTCCCCCAGCGAGGTGCTGAGCTGGTGCGTAACTCAGAATGTCTATTTTGGTCCCTGGACGTGTGGGATGTGTCCTGGCATGTGCTGAATGTGCACTGCTCACATCTCCTGCTCAGTACTGCCGGAGAGGGAAGAGCTGAGGAGCCAGGACCCGCCTGGGCACTTTCTCTGTGGCTGTGGGTTTGGGTGCACTCTCTTTTACCACTGTCGGTGCTTCAAGGTGCAGCTCAGCCTTGCTACTTAAAACAGACCCTTGGCTGTAATGAGTTGTGCTAAATACTGAAGCTCTGTGTAGTAGGTGGTGGTTTTGCAGTTTACTTATATTCCTTTTCTCTAGCCTTCAAAAGAGAGCCAGTCCCCTGCTCTGTGTCTGTGCACCACCTCGCTCAGCTGGGATTGCCAGTTCGGGCACCCACACGCTGCTGTTCTGTAAGTACTGTGTGTGCACTGCAATTTAAACTTCCCAGTCACCTCCCTGCAGCAGAGCACACAAAACCCATTAATCACTGTAGCATTACACTAAAAGAGCATCATTCTGCCAGCTCTCAGCACAGATGAAGAAGTAGTGCTTTGGAGCTGCTAACCCCGTATGTCTTTCCTTAAACATATTTATGCTGGACATAATTAGTTTTAGTCATGGCTGTAACAGTGAAACCCTGTCCAGGCAGCAGCCGAGTTGTCTGCTTTTGAACTCCTCTTTTGATGCCTATAATTTATTTTCTTTTTTTTTTTTTTTTTGGTTAAAGCAAGGTTCATGGTGAATACTAAGGCTGAAACTCCTGAATTCCTGATCGCTTATCGGGTGTTAGAAGCAGAGATGCTGGATAGGAGAGAGTGAGAAGGGTCACTGAGGGACTGAGGTTCCTGTTCTTAAGCGAACACATGGGTCGTTGCAGGCAGTAACTTACCCCTGGCTTTGGTCCCTTCCTCTCTAGGAATTCATTAAATGCTCACATCCCATAGAACGTGGAGACCTCTGCCTCCTAAGAGAATTTCCAAAGCAGATTAACAGAAATGCTCCAAAATGTATCTTAGGGGGTTTTTTTAAAGCTTTCACCAGAACCAAACAAGGTGCCAGTACAATAAAGGAGTGAGGAGACCCTTTCTCAAAGTCTCAGGGATACAGTTCTGTTTCTAATTATTTCAAGCCTCTAGTTTGTTCATGCAGTCATTCCTGATGAGGCATTGGTTTGGAGAGCAGTGTTCTGGGAACGCCACCACTGTTCGTTCAGTAAGTGGGGTGGCAGTTGCTGGACTGTATTTGGAAAAGCTGCACGTGACTTTGCAGAATTCCCAGCTGACTGGCCCAAGATCAGGAGCCTTTTCACGTTTCAGAGCCAAAACAGGAGGGCAGATATTTACTCTGACAGCTCTATAAACAGCTCTGCAGCCAGGGCTGTTGTTAGGAAGGGCTGGCCCACGGTTACTGTCCCAGAGGAACTCTCTGGATGTTACCCTGTCAGCTGTGCCATCTAGTGTGGTGACAGGGAATCTCGACTGAGAAATATCCCACTGTCCCGGCTCTGACAGTTGGGGATGCTATTTAGGGAGCACCTTTGAGCCTGCCCACTGTCTGATCCCGTGGAGAGAACTGCTCTTAAACAAGCCTTGTGTGTGTACAGTGCTTCCTCCAGTTTTACAATAGAACAAAATGGAAATGTGAGTAAGTAAGAAAGAAATACAAATTCGGGAGCCCTGTTATTCCCTGTGGATGTGCTGTCATGGCACTGGAAGTGCTTAGGCTAAAGTAGCCTTCCCTAAGAGCCACGCTAAAATCTAGGGTTCATGGAGGTTCAACTGCTGTCATGGAGGTTTTCCTGGCAGTTGTTTGACACTTTCTTGTTGGGTCCCCACCCAAGCAGGCAGAAAAATGGGAAGGGCAAAGTATTCATATACTGTGGACCTGCATCACACCCCGGGAGGAAACTGTGGCCCCGAGTGCCATTCTGTCCCATCCCTTTCCCCCAGTGTTTGGAGTGTCTCGGCTGTGAACACTGGACACTCTGTGCAACATTGCACAGCAGTCAGCAGGTGGCACAGGAGGAGTGTGGCTGGCAGGAAAAGCTCTTTTTTTTCCAAACAGAGGGGAGAAACTTTCTCTCAGGTGCTATTAGCTTTTCGAAGAGTGGTTAGTAATGGGGGCACCCCAGATCCAGACCTGCTTCCCATTATCAACCATTAAAATCTGGAAGGCAGCTAAAAGGGGCCTCAGCAGTCCTCTTTAGGCACTGTGTCATTTTTTAAGAACAGTGACCAAACCTGGACACAGATGTCACCCCCAGAGGTCTTACCCAGGCTGAGAAGCACAGAGGGTTATCTTATCCTGAGGACAAAGGATAAGATGTCCTCAGGATAAGATGCTTCCTTTTTTTTTTGCATCACCAAGATATTGCTCATATTTACAATCAACCAAAATCCCTGTATCCTTCTCGTGCTGAACTCCTGCCTGGCCAGTTGTTCCTCATTTGCTCCTTGCTCAGCTGAGAAGTTCTGTTTGGAGCAGTCGTTCGCCCCTGTTCTTGTTTTCCAGGTTTTGTCCAGCATGTCAGGATTGCTTTGAATCCATTTTAAGCCCTTTAGAATCTTTGTAGCATTTTCCAGGGGCTCATCTGCAAATTGAATAGGAAGCAGACTGGTTTTCTGTGGATTTTCAAGGACACAGCTTGTGATGCAGAGTTTTTTCTGCTGTTTTTCCATCTCATAATGCGTTTTGTCCTTGCTTAGCTGACTCAAATGGTCTAATGCCATTCTCTCCTACTTGCCCGTAGTAATCTCACTTGGAATTCTTTCCTGGGTTTGAAGTAGAGCTTATTGCTTGCCCTGGCCAGTCTCTTCCTGCATATCATGTGCTTCCTCTGAACTTCTGTACTGTGACAGTAATATCAAGGAATGACAGCTTTCCCTACCCAACATCCCTTTTCCTCATAGCTTTGTTTCCTATGAGCCTTTATTTGCCAGCTTTTTCAGTTTATTAGTCACTCTCTGTGCAAGTCACACTTTCTATTTTGTTGTTCTCCTTTTCCCTAGCTGGTACACATTCCGTGTGCCCTTTCATGAGTGGGAATGCTTTTTACCTCCTCCCAGGCATAAAACAGATTATGATAAATTTGGCTAAATTCTGTGAAAGGTGAAGTGCCTCAAGGTCATTTCAGACTTCAGAGGTCTTAGATATTGAATCATAATTAAGATTTTCCAGCAAAATCCCACTGACAGACTCCCATGGTTGTCTCACATCCTGGAGACATTATGCTTTGATTTCCATGTCAGTTTTTATATTGTCAGGCCCTCCGAAAAATGCAGCAGAAAAGGCAGCCAAATATTTCTTTTCAGGCAACTTTTAACACAGAAATTTATCCAAGTCCAAAGTCTGAAGAGCACTGAGAAAACGAGTAAAAGCTCGAGTAGAATCTTGTAAGCTGGAGATAGAGAACAGTTAATTCTGAGAAAATACCAGAAATGCACTTTTAGCTGCTGGGAAGGAAGAATTCCTGGGAGGACATTCCGGAGGGAGCTCAGGTGGAGTGTGGTATTATTTCACACTGCTCCTCACAGCATGTTATCCATGTTGTCAGGCTTTCCAGGCAAATGTCTTTTCCTGGATGTTTTTCCTGTGAAATGAAGCTTTTTGTCCTCACTGAAGGGGACTTTAGAGCCCGCCATCAGCAGGCTCATGGAAACACGGCTTTTACACCGTCTTAAATATTCCCTTGGATCCAGTGCCAGGCGTAACAATCTGCCTCTCTGAGCAAGGGTTTTGCTGAGCTCTGTGTGGAGTGTGTCTCAATGAAGTGGCCAAGGACATGTGGAGGAGTACAGCAGAGATAAGGCACAGAGGCCTCTGGATGAGCTTCCTTCCTTTTGAGGGCACTTTTCTCCCCCCTAGCCTGGCTGAATATTCTTTTATACTTCGCTGTTTGTCACTGAGTGCAAGTATTTCATTCTCAGGAGGTTAAGATGCTCTTAATTTTCGGCAGATAACTTAGGCCAAAACCTTACAGAGTTTCTGAATGTGGGTGTTCATTCCCCCTTATTTTAGATGCTGCTTTACTGAAAGCGGCAAGCAATGAAATTGTTTTATAAATCACATTATATAATTCAAAACTAAATTCTGAATTCCCTGAATCAGCTTTTTTCCTTGTTTTCTGCTTTGCCTGACTGAGGATTCTTGTGAGAGGATTCTTCTAAGTCTGTAAGCTCTGATGGGAGTGTTTATCTTCATGACCTGAGGAAGTTTGATCACATATTTGATATTGGAATATTAATCTCATATCATTATTATTAATCATATTTGATTACATATCTGATACTACGTATTTTTCCTCCCTGAAATAAAAAGCCAGGGATATAAATAAGGCAGCAAAAGGAGTCCTTCATGTGCCTTGAAATACGGTCTTGCTGTCATCAAATCTGTGTGTGCTTCTCTGAAACTGTCCCCACAAGTTCCTCTTTCTCGAGTTAAATGTGAGAGAGAGGATGTCACTGGTCACTTAGTCATGTGGTGCTTTGGTTTGATGACAGGAGAAAGCATGAAGTCCTTTCCCACCCAGTGGTGCTGGGGGAAAGGGCAAGGCATGAGCCAGCGCTCGATGCAGTGACTGCATCCTGAGACCCAGGTCACATGCTGGAACCAACCGGGGGGGCACTTTTTTTGCTTCCCCAAAGTATTCCCTTTGGAGACACAGTTCAGCTATCCAAGGTATTGCAGACTGTGCTGGATGTTAGTGGTTCCCACCCTAGGGCCTGCCTCTGCTTTTGGCCACAAGATATTAAATACAGTTGGGGCTGGCAGGCCCAACCGAGTGCAGCGTGGCACTGGAGCTGGAGCGTGGCATCTGACAAGGAATGGGGACAGATGAGCTGGATTCTGGAAAAGGCATGGGCCTGGAAATCACAACAGGGTGCTGGGTTGTTTGCAGAAGGTCGAGAACAGATCCTAAGGTAGGAGGTTCCATAGGCTTCCTCCCGGGATTAGACCCCAAGGAGCCCCTCCGTTGCTTTAACTCCTTGCACATCATTTCCCCCCATGCTTCTCCTGCCCTGGTCATTTAAGACCTCCTCCTCTGGCACATTTCCAGGGAAACTGGTGCCTGTCATGCCCTCGGGGCTGGGAGCTGAGGGCTGTCCCACACACAGCCCCCTTGTGTGAGCTGGCAGGCAGGAGCTGTTTGTATCCAGGCTGACATACAAAGCGTTTGTTTGCCAGCGGCTGCCACCGACTGTCCGGGAGCAGGGCTTGGGATTAAAGATAACTCATTTTGCCCTTATTTCTGGGCCTACCAAGTGTGCATTTAAGTGCAGGGAATCAGGGAGAGACTCCCAGTGTGAGCCTTTTTGGTCTTCCGTCATCTGTGCCAATGAGTTTGGTGCACTTTAAGGACACAGACCACAGGCTTTGCAGATGGAAAGACTCCAGAAGAGCTCAGCTGTGCTGCTCTGGTGCCACTGAAGCTAAAAGAGACATTGCAGCATTTTAATCAGAGTTAGTTCAGTGTCTGAGTAAATCATAATGTGATGCAGGCAGGCAAAATCATGTAATTGCAGCCTTCAGTACCTGTGTGTGTTTCAGGAACAGGGGAAGATCTTGGGCTGTGACATAATGCAGGCTCAGAACAAAGCAGACTCTGATTGTAGGTCTGCAGCCTCTCAAATGCAGTTAGCAGAGGCTGTGAAAATCCCTGGAGCAAGACCTCCACTTCTCCTCAATAAAATAGTGTGGAGAGGCAGTGTGCATCCAGGTTTTAGTGCAGCAGCAGACATCCTAAGTGCCAGAATCTGCTCCTGAACTCTTTCAGATCAATAAGCAGTTGAGCATAGGCTAACAAAAGGAAAATAAGACTCCTAGAGTCTGCCCTATCATATCCCAGTGGAGCATCCTTCACGGAGTGGCACTCATGTGGGATACCACTCACAGGACAGGGAAATGTGTGCCATTGGTTTGCTAATTTTAAATGTGCTCTCCTAGTACTCTTCACTTAAAAGTAGGTGTGGGTTTTTGAAACTCAGTCAGGCTGAGTCCCAGATGGGGCAAACAAATGGAACAGGTCTCCCTCTCTGCCCCATTCCTTTGGGAGGCTTTGGGTCAGGGGCTGGAGGGTTCATCCACTGCTGTGGGATTTGGGCCCTGAAGTCCCACTGACAGTCCTAGACTGTCATCCTCCCTTTTTCAGGAGGCATACATGTCATACTATAGGAAAAGGTACACAAGCACCATTTATTCTGTTTGAATGACAGGTTCTTTATAATTTCTGGCATGTTCAGGGTTATCAGGAGAGGTTTTCAAGGCTGGAGGGTAAAGTCTCTGCTCTCCAGTGTCTTATATTGATGGGAAAGTGTATGACTGATAAAGTATGTGACCTGTATGACTAACCTGACCCTGTTAGCCAGCTGTGCCAGAAACCTGCCAGCTCCTTATAACTCTGTATCTATAGTAAGATCAGAGTTACATTTTTATGGTGGTTCAGGCTTTGTTGGCTTCCTGTTTCTAATCAGTAATGAGGGGCAGGGGGTTTATAAGGAAAGAGGGAACACAATCCTCGACTGGTTTTGCCTTTCTCCAGAGTTGTTTTTGCCAGGTTCTCCTGTGCTGGGAGCAGCATGGGCACATGTCAGCTGTGCTTTTGGTTCCTCCCTGGGTGCTCCCACACTTGTGCTTGTCCCTTGGTGTGCAGAGGGTGTTCCCAGCAGTCCAGGGCTGTTTGTAGTGCTCAGCAGGAGCAGGACAAGTAAACCTGGTTGGTCCTGGAGCTGCCTCAGGGCTGTATGGAAGAATGAGGGTTTGGAGAGGTTGTATCAGTTTCTGTGGGCAATGCTTAAGAGATCAAGCACTTGAAAGACAGTGTTCTTCCTGCTGCAATCTGCATGGCAGCCACTAAAACCTGAACTAAGGGAGTAAAACTCTGGCAGCAGGAGCTTTACTGATTAGTTGGGCTTGGCACTGCAAGCCAGGCCCTGAGCAAACCTTGTGCGGGTTATCCAGACAGTGCCGCTTGCCAGAGCCTCCCATTCATCCCAGTGCACGCCCTGCAGCTTCCTTGCCTTCCTTTCCCAGCAAGATCCCTGTTTCACAGCCCCTAGTGACCTTCTCCCACACAGCTGTGCACCCCTGAGTCACGAGGCTCCATGAGCAGCAGCGGCCGGTGAGTCAGGGGAGCAGCAAACGAGCCCAGGAGTAGCTGATGGGTGTGACTGGCTGCCCTTGCTAATTCTGGTGTAGCTCAGATGATGAGGAATATGGCTCTGGGTGTGGGCAATTGTAAAATGTGCTATGTGATCTATATCACAATTAGGACATGTATGTCTCTGTGTGTGTGTGTGTGTGTCTTACAATCCATGAGGACTGTGGTTATTTAGCTGGAGAGTGTCAAAAGCAGGAGAGTCAAGCAGGCCCAAATTTCAGAGGGAAGAACATTTTTACTGCTGTTCTGGTAATAGTTAAGAGTATTAATTTCCTCAGCAGCAAAATTAAGTGCTGTAGGCAAATCTCTCGTCCCCTGAGTTGTCATAGTCCCAAATCTGGCAGTTCTAACCCAAGAGCAAAGGCTGCTCTTACACAAGCCCCAGCTTTGCTCCCAGCCCTCTCCAAGGTCACTGATGGTCCTGGTAATTGCAGTGTAGCTCTGCCCCGTAGTGAACTGCTTTCCTGCCAGCACTTAATTTGCACTGTGTGGGAAGAATAAATTAAAGCTGGAGACAGTGAAATGTGATCTCTACCCACTTAGAAACCTTTCAGAAATGTCTCAACTCTCAGCTGAAATCAAGACCTTATAATTAGGTTATTATTTTATTAATTAAGCATGGAGTACTAGAAACATACCCAGTGTGTGTGAGTTCATTGATGACAAGGAGGTGTGTTAGCTGTGCAGGGAAAGCAGAAGAGCAAAGCCTCTGAAAGCCAAACTGTAGATAAGACAGAAACTGGTAGAGCATTTATTAAGTAAAGCACTTTTCTAGTTGCAGCTGCATTCTTGGTGTTGAGATGAAACTACACTCCTGTTTCATGTGTCTGTGTGCCCTCAGGTCACAGCTCCTAAAGGAAGCAGTGCAAGACCTGGATCCAGTTGGACGTGGTGTGAACAGGTCTGGCAACAGGGGCAGATGATTGTAGCACCAAATGCTGAAGTAAGGAAAGGCACGATTCCTGTCTGGGGTGTCGAAGAGCAGAGATCCATGAAGTGACATGGATGCACACAGAGACAAGGAAAAACACCCCACCCCTCCTGTGTGCTGTTCCAACCCTTTATTGTGGCCAGCATAAGACATCCACTGGAGAAATGTCTGATAGTTACTAAACCCCAGGAGTAGGATTAAGGATTTCTGGGGTCTGTTCTGATTTGTCTGATACTGTGCTCTGTGATTTCCTAATTCCTTCCCTGAGAAGCTTTTCCCCTCCCTACACAGACCCGAAGGAGCTGAGTAACTGGTGTTGCACAAACTGAAGAGGCCACTTGACAAGCTTAGTAAGTTTGGCTTTTTATGTCTCTTCAAGGTATTCCCAGTGCATGGGACAGGACTGTTTCATCATGTACATGCTTTCCAGAATGTGGGCCTCGTCTGCCTCTCTTCCTGGCAGTATCATCATGATTTTGGAAAGGGAAGATGTGCCTCTGCTTGTCTCAGGGATCTGCAGCTGTGAGACAGGACTGTGCATTGAGCCAGCAGTGCACCCACTGCATTCCCGTGCTGCACTTCAGAGGTGGAGTCGCTCCTCACGGGAATGTTTTCAATGTATCATGGCCAGTGAGCACTTCCTTGGTTTCCAAAGGTAAAATAATTTGCCAAAAAAAAGAAACAAATTCTTGCTGAGAGTCTAGAAAATCTGCTTGGAGAAGGGGTGTGGTTCTATGCATCACATGGGTAGCTCTTTGTAGAAAAATAAACTGAAATAATGAATTAAGCAAACTCAAATTTCTGCAGAAATCTTTGCTTGAGCTATAAATATTCATGCCAGGGTTCAGCAAAAAGAATTTCAGTGATCTCGTGCTCTGCAAGGATCCTTTATCTGTTTCAGTAGCAAACTAAATTTAGCCTTTGAAAAACCAAAATATCTCCCAATTAAGATAGAATTTCTTAAATATTCCTGCCTTTCTTTTGATTTGCCAGGGTTTCGGTGCTCAGATTAGCCAGCATGTTCTTTAACATCATGAACAAAGAAATGCCTGATGGCTGTGGAAAGTAGCTGTGATAAAAATGGCTCTGCATAACTAGAGAATGGCTGTATATTCCTGATCTTGTATATTCCTGTACTCCTGTATTTATCTCCGATGTGGGGACAACAGCCCTGCATTGGAGCGTGTGCATCAGGAGATCCTCACTGGAAAACAGAAGTCATGGAGCAGTTAAACTACCCGAGGTGAGACAAGAAAAATTTCTCCACTGCACTGTTTCAGCAGCCGTGGAAAATGTGTTTCATGTGCTGCAGGAGGAGCGAGCTGCTTGTAAACATTGTCACTGCAGCTGGTCCCCACCAAAGGCCAGTATTTTATGGTGGAAGGGAAGGTTTATGGTTTCGGAGAGAGAATTCCCATGGAAGACTCCTTCTAAGGGGAGAATTCTATAGCTGTAGTTAAATTAGTCTTTAAAACCAGATTCTAATGATGTACTCTGTTGCTTGGGGTTTTTGGTTGTGGGTTTGTTGGGGGGTTTTTGAGTGCTAATGATGAAACAGGGCTAAGAACAACACTCTGGAATGGGAATCTAAAGAAAAACAAGCTGCCAGAACAATTTTTTTTTTTTTTTTTTTTTATTACTGCCTGGGTGGAACCACAAAAATTCTGGTCTTCCAAACAACTGTGAAATGTGACCTCAGAACCTTTTCTAAACAAAAATACCCAGAAGGGCACATGTTAACATAACACTCTTACTGCAATCACAATGACAGGAAGAAAAATTTATAAAGGAAAATTATTTCAGTCCATCTTAGCAGGAAATCCACCTGATGGGCTACTTGCCCTCTGCTAGGCAAGGCATTATTTGGATCAGGCTGCTGCTGGCAAGCTGCCAGTCTCGTGATTTGGGGAGGGAACTGACTCATGGGCTTGGGAAACGCTAATGCTGCTGGAAGCTCGGTGATGGCACAGGAGCCCTGTGGCAGCTGAAATGCGTTGTATTGTGGCACAATCCGATCCCTGGGAAGCTTCACGTCCCCTACAAGTTTTTCCCTAATAATCTGGCCGGAGAATTTTTTCCGCTCGTTTCCCAGCAAAGCCCGTGACGATGCACGGAGCGAGGCGCACTAGCAGCTCCCGTCGCCGGCACACGGGAAGATTCCGGCTGTGCCAGGGCCGGCGGGCAGGAAGCAAACCTTCAGTTCTTTCGGGATACATCCAGCCTTTCCCGGTGAGCCGGGAGAGCATCCCCCGGGAGAGCCGCGGTCCACCCCCAGCCCCGCGGGGCGGAGGCGGCGGCTCCTCCCGGCGCGGGCAGGCGGGGCCCGGTGTCCGCCCGCCCCCGGAGCCGGAGCCCGGCGGAGCTCGGGGTGTCCCCGTTCGGCGGCGACAGCAGCAGCCGCAGCCATGAAGTCGCTGTGCCTCGTCACCGTGGGGGTCCTGGCCATGACGCTGCTCATCGCCAGCATCTCCCTGCTGGTAGCGCACGTCTTCCAGACGGTGGTGGATCTGCAGGTGAAGCAGGTGAGAGAACGCGGCCGCGCGCCCGCCCCGCTCCTTGTTTACCGCCTTATTCCCGCTGAAAATAGCCCTGGGAGGGAGGGAGCGGGCTGGCTCCTTCCTTGCACCAGCCGTGGTTGGGTGGGCAGGAGCATCCTCGGGCAGTGAACGCCCCCGTGCCCAGTGACAGCTCCCCCCCCCCGGGCAGTGAACCCCCCCTGCCCTGCACCACCCGGCTGGGCTGGGGCTCAGAATGGAGCTCACAGTGCACTGGCCCCTGGGCTGAGTAGAGAGTGGATGAATATGCATAAAAATCAGCCCTCTCGAGGCTGTGGTGCAGCAGCTGTAGCGAGGAGGCCTCTCCAGAGCAGGAGCACATGGGGGGAGCAGGGGACACCAAAAGCACCCTTCCTTTTTGCCATTCCTGTTATAGATTTCTTGCAGCCTGCTCTGCTGCTCCGTTTACAGCTGCCTCTGGAGCACGGCCAGAGGTGCCATGGGCTGAAGCACGTGGTGTCTCTCAGGCTGGGTGATGGCAGCAAGGCATTGCACCCTGTTGTTGTACGCTTGGGGACATCCATCCTGGCCTTGCTGGGGGTGCAGAGCCCCGCACTGTTCCTGCTCTGCCTAGGCTTTTGTTTCTCTCCTGGAGTGGCTCCATGCATTTATCTTGTGCTCCAGTGAGAAGGGTCAGCTCTGTTAGGAACTCCCTGTGTAAATAAACAATTATTTCTCTTCCTGGCCTGAGGAATATCATCTTGGCTCTTCTTCTGACAGAGAGACCAGCATTGCGAACAAAAGCAGGGGTTTGACAAGTGCTGTCCTGTTAACTGGTGACCAGATCACCTGTGATCTCCTAACCTACTGTTCTTCCCTTTGGGCCGTGGACAGGGAGTATTTCCTGCCACAGAAACTGTGTTGTCTTAACTTAAATCAGTTTGGGTTTAGTGCCACTTTAGGTCGGCAGTGAGCTTACAGCAGGTCGTGGCGCTTTGAGATGTGCCCGTAAACTTCAGCAGAGCTCCATCTCCCAGGCCTTGGCTCTCCTTGGGAAGGAGTCTGCCATCCTCTGCCTCCCAGAATTCTACTGTCAGGTCTAATTCATCCAAAGAGCAGCGGGGTGAGAGCGGTGGTTTGGTGTAGGACTGCCGGGAATTAGGCGTGATCCTCCTTACGCGCATTATCTCCTGGCTGCTGCTCCTTCCCCGGAATGGGGGGTTATGTAAGAGCAAGTTGGTGTTCGCTCAGCAGGGCTTTCAGTAATGCAGGATAAAGTTTCCAGAGCTCAGTCCTTTCCTGCTTGCTGCTCTCCGGCTCGTCCTGGCATAGGTCTGGATTGCAGGGAATGAGGAGCGCTGGCTCCCCCGCCGACTGCCTGCTGGCCTTTTCCAGGATCCACACCACGCACAGACTGTGGAAGTGCAGCTCACAGCCCCAGAGCAGTGTGCTCCCAGTCACTCTGCTGATCCGGCTGCTTTCCACATGTGCTTTATCCCACATGAGCTTTTCCTCATTCGTGTGCAGTCTAGAAAGCTGCTGTCTCTTGTGTAACCGCGTGTGTAAGCTTAGAAAACCTTGTGCAAATAGACAAATCTCAATTTGCCTTTGAAATGGGGCAAGACCTCAGCTTTTGCAAGCAGTTCCTGTTCCTTTGAGGGCTTTCCCAGCCGTCCTGAAGCGGAGCTGACTCGCAGGGAAGGGCTGTCTGTGCAGTCTCAAGTGCAGCTGAAGTGCAAGACTTTATTTTGGAGCAGCTGGAGCCCCTGTGTGTCCAAACCCAGCACCTGTGAACCACTGAGGATGGCTCTGCTTTCAGCAGGGGGTTGTGTACAGCACCCTTCCAGCCAAAGGCAGGATCTTGGATACAGAGGGGGTGTGGGAAGAGTGGGAAATCCAACCAGGTGTCAGACTTCACATCCCTTTTAAAATCCCCAGGCAGATGTGTAGTGACAAGGACAGTAGGAGCACCTTTCCCAGAAGGTGTTCAAATCATACCAACTTACTCTTTGTTTTATTTGCAGTTTTATTTTTGTGGATTAAAAGTGCCATCCCAGATCAGGTGTCCAATACCTGTTTGTTATCAGGGCCTAGCACCTGAAACTCCAGAAAATAAGGGGAAAGAACCTATAATGAACAAGAATAAATCAGCTACCCCCAGGAGAAAGGCCTTCTCCACAGTGTTGCCTTGTTCTCTCTGTTGGGTAGATGCCTATGTATTTGTTGCAATAAATATGCTCTTCATGAATATAACCTAATATTTTATATAGATGGATATGCTGGTCTGAACACTTACCTGATCACCTTAAAAAGTTGCAATTAAATTCTGTCGAAGATGAAGACATGAAAGCACATCTTGGAATTAAAATGTTTTGGAGTTCCAGGGGGAAAAAAAAATGGAATTTAATAGAATGTTCAGTACCATTTCCCACCATCGCTACCAGTAAGTTGTATTTGGGTGGGAAAGCTCCCTTTTCATTTCCTGTGTGTGAAGAACAGTCAAGACAAGGAAACACTGGTGAGTGAGAGAGCTGCAAGTTCAGGGCTGGCTGGTAAATGCAGCCAGCAGGAAGGATGCTTTGCAACACTGGAAATGAGCATGGACTCCACTCGTGAAGGAGAAGCCCTGATATCCTTGTAATATCATGTGAGAGACCCAAATATCCCTGGTAACAGTTGGGGAAAATCAGAAGAAAAGAGCCTACCCTATTTCATTATTTGGGAGTTTTTGGGAGTCAATCTGAACCAGCTCTAAAATAACATTAATTTTTGTGATGTGCACAGAATACATGGGTTTTAATCCTTAGGGGAAACCAGTCTGCAAATGCAAAGTGCCACCAGCTGGGTTGGCTTTCACTGCCATTCAGCAATAGTCCTGCCATCTCAAGATCCTGCCAATAAGTTTGCCTTTGAAACAGTCTTCTCTTTATCTAATCCTTCAAAATTAAGGTCTGCATAGAGAGAAAACGGCTCCTTAAGTGGGAAGGCCAAGAATGAGTCCTGAGGCAACTGTGGCTGATAAGACCCCATAAACAGCGACCAAAAGCTGGCAGCTGCCCAGCCTGCCCTGCTTTTGAGCTTCCACTTACAATATTTGACTTGTTGGCTCTGAAGAATAAAAAGAACAAGTGTTGATGAGACCCATTTAATTGCAAATCATTTCCCCCCCCCCTTTCTTCCGCCTACAGGTGATGTGGTTTTCAAAGACAGAGTTTTCTTTGTGCTTATTCCTGGAAATTCACTCTGTGAGCCAGATTTCCCTTCGTGACCACTGCAGCAGTACCAGTGTTATTACTGGGTGAAAGGCCTTGATTTTGGTGGTGGTGATGCTTCATGTTTGGGGTGAATTTGTCTAAAATGGGATGGTAATAAAATGAGGGATTGAGGCCTCTGTTATGGAGCAACATGACAGGAGTGTTTGTGACTTTCTGTATAACTTGTATATGCTGATAGATGAGGGAATTAGTCTTTCATTTCCCAAGTGCTCCTGTTATAAAACAATGATTTATAGCTTTGCTTTTGTAGGGCCACATTTTATTGGTTACAGAATAGACCGACAGGCCGTGGGTCTGGAGATGCATGTGCTGCCATTGCTGTAGGAAAGTAATTAAAGGCAGAGGGCAAAGAATCTTGGCACTATTCCAAGACCTTGGAAAGGTATGAATCGTAGGACACGTACAGGAAAGGAGTTTCTGTCGCTTGCAGGTTTTCCTCTGAAAAACAAAGCCTGATTGCTTTGGAGACAGAATCTCACGGAATTCCTCCCTTTCCTGTAAATATCAGCCAGCATCTACATTAGCATTAACAGCTAATCTGTCTTTTCTCTTGTTCCAGGGGGCAGTATTGAAGAATGGCACAGAAACCTTTGAAGCCTGGGAGGACCCTCCTCCCCCAGTCTACATGCAGTTCTACTTTTTTAATGTGACAAATCCTTTGGAAGTGCTCCAAGGTGCTAGTCCTCTTGTAGAGGAAATAGGACCATACACCTACAGGTGGGATCCTTTTGCTGTTTTCAAGTGTCATGAAAGCTGTTGTGTGTGAGGAAGCCAAAAGGTGGGATCCAGAACGCTTGGGATCCCATTCTAGGGGAAAACCTAGCTGTTAATGTGGGAGGGAAAGCTGCTCCAGGGGGGCATTGTCACACCCCACCCAGCCAGCACTGACACTTGCAGCCAGTTGCAGATGAAGCCAGTGACTTCTGTCAGATTTTGGGCAAGGTTTTGCTGGTGTGCTGCTGTTCCTCAGCTGCTGAACGAAGAGGAAGCTGTTTGCATCCTGGCCTGCTGTCTTGTGAGAGGAAAGACAGTTGGGTGATGTTTGAGAGTCTGGGGAGAGGAGTGTTGCATAAAAAGAGTGTGACTCCTGCTCACTCAGGAATTAGTTCCCAGCCAAAGTTGCGCAATCCACGTTGGTGAAATGCGGCCAGAGAAGCAGTTGGAGTGGTGCTTCGGGGATCTTCCTCAGCCAACCCTCACTGTAAAACCTGCTTAGGTTT